GAGGTGGTCCAGCTGATCTTTGACCCATGCAAAGTTACGCTTCACGGTGTCAAGGTCAGCCGCGGTTACATTCTTCAAGTCTCTGTACACCTGATAAAAGACTTAGATTGGTTAAGAGGTCACTAATAATTTCGCCTAGTAGTAATGTTTAAGTTTAAGTCACCTCTGTTTTAAATTTTATAATAATGACAAAATTTGATCAAAAATGTGTCTCCTACAAACTGGTACATATGATGCAATCATAACTATCCACGAAATAACATCATTGTAAATAATAATAGCTGCCAGAATGAGATAAACAAATCTTACTTGTTTATCGACCATTAGACGCTTATCTCCCGAAGGCCACAACCTCCAGGAGTCAGAGTCGATGACGTCAGCCACCAGAATGTTGCCTGGAACGGTATTGCGTAATCAATTAAAATAATAAAAAAACAAAGACGCCTTTTATTACCTATTCCAAATGAACATTTCGTTTATTCCAAGCGAACGGAATCGCGGGCGATAGCTAGTAATTTATTATTAAAAGTATATACCTTCAGTATCAACTCCAAACTCTATTTTCATATCGATAAGAGCGCAGTCTCTCAATGCCCATGCTTTCTCTAGTATTTCGAAGACCAATACTGTAACCTTCTTCATGTAGTCCACTTCATCTTGACCTGTACAAGAAAGGATCGTCTTGAATAGTAATAGTAGAACCTACTACAGGCAAAAATAACTTATCTAATTTTAGGAACCTGAGTAAAATAGTTAAATAGATAGTTCAATACTAACAATATTTAGTGAGGTAACATAGGTATGTTACCCGGATTACCCCGATGATACCCGGTTAGGTAACCGGGTATCAACTTTATAAAGAAATTAAATCTTAATAATATTAGAAACGGGAAAGTTTAGATGGATCTATGGATGTTTGTTTAGTAGTCTGCTGAACGGATCTATGAAATTTGGCATAGTCTGGAATAATGGAATAATAGGCTTTTGATTTTTTTTTAAATTTCAATTGGACGGAGACACGAGCGAAACCTAGTTAATGTTAATTTAATAATTACCAATCACAACATCGTTAACTTTCAA